ATTAACAAACAACGAGGTGTGATTCACAAATGTGTTGAGAAAATTGATATGTGGGAAGCTAGAGGGAAATAATTGGAGGAAATCATAGAAGTTGACTTAAAAATTCTGGAAGCTGACAAAAAAGAAGATGAACACAATAGTTACAATGAAGAAGTGGACTATAATGCTAGTCAAGAATTAGTGTCATTTGGGACAAAAGTGGGAGTAAAGACAAGAAATAATGAAGGAGAGAATAGTGACAGCATGCTAGAGGAAAATCTGAGAAGGTGTGGAAGACTGGCAGACAAGCAAGATGCTAATATTGAGGGGCTGGCTAAGGAAAGAGCTGCTACTAAAGATAACTATGGTAAGGAACATGAACTTGATTTTCATAATGCCTCCTTATTGTTCATGCCAGATGAAATTGGAATTGATCTGGGTTGTTCAATCAATATGATTGATTCATACTTGGACATTATAGCTAAGATGGAGCAGTGTAGGAAAGATTTTTATTTACAACATATTTGCCAAAAGAAAAAAGGAGTTGAACAAACTGACGATACTAGTCTCACAGATATTGGAGATGCTGATCTCAAAGAACTTCATTCTGATGAAGGCCACTCTGATGCTGAGATATAGATGGATCATTTCTCACATCTTAAAAGTTTCTTTACTAAAACAAAGAAGAATAGCTCAAACTCACCAGGATTCTCCTGTGGAGAGACAGCTAGTGTGATTGGGGGGGGGCATATAAAAACAAAATAAAATGATAGGGGTGTTCTGGAATGTTAGGGGAATTGGTCAGGATAACAAGAAATTTTTTATTAGAGAGAACATCAACAATAGGAAACTGGATTTTATTGGCATCCAAGAAAACTGTTAAAGCTAATTTCTCTAAGACAGAACTACACAACTTGTGTGGGGGAAGAAATTTTGATTGGAAATGGTCCCAACCAAGAGGGAGATCTGGGGGAATACTTGTTGGGGTTAATTGTGATAACTTTGACATTGTTAATGTAGAAATTGGGATATACTTTATTAGAATTTTGGTGTTTGATAAAAAAGCAAATTTGACTAGAATCTAATAGTGGTATATGGAGATGGACAAACCATTGGCAAAAATGCCTACTTGGCTGAATTGTCTAGAGTTTATCAAAAAACTCCTCCCTGTCAATGATGATAGGGGGAGATTTTAATATCATTAGAAAAAGTGATGAAAAAACAAACCCACTGGTAATGCTCATTGGAGCTTTATTTTTAGTGCCATTATTGAACAAGCTGGTCTGAGGGAGCTGCCCCTGGGATGGAGAAAATATACTTAGGCTAATAATCAGAGTGATCCTACCTATGAAAAACTGGATAAGATGCTTATTTGCCCTGATTGGGAAGAACATTATCCTTTAACTATAGTTCAAGCTTTAGAGAGAGAACTATCTGATCATACACCACTGATAGTGGATTCCGGGGAAAAATAAATGCTACCCCAATATTTAGATTTGAAATTTTCTGGATGCTCAAAGAAGGATTCAAGGAATTTTCCATAAAGTGTGGGATGTCCAGGTTGTAGGAAATAACATAGAGAGATGGCAAAATAAATTAAGAATATTTAGACAAAAGGTGAGAGGATGGATTCTAAACTCAGATGCACTATGCAGAAAAATAAAAAAGAAATCTTATCCAAACTTGATGAGATTGACAAAAGAGCAGAGGTGTTGGGATTATCTGCCTGTGACAGAAATGAGCAAAAAGAGTTGAGAACTCAATTAGGGAGACTGGTGAAGCAAGAAGAAATAAAATTGTTACAAAGATACAAAGACAGGGAGATCAAAGATGGGGATAATAACACTAAATATTACAATGCTTAGGTGAATGGGAGGAGAAGGAAAATAGAATATTCTCCCTGAGCCAGGCTGAGGGAGAGATTGAAGGGGGTGAGGAACTGGTTAAATACATCACAAACTTCTATAAAGACCTATTTGGTCAACCTGAAAATTCTATTGTGAACTTAAACATTCAAGATGCTCCTGGCATCTTAGAAGAACAATCTAGAACTTTAATTGAGCCCTTCGGTATGCAAGAGCTACAGGAGGTGGTTTTCAATGTGGAGAAAAATAAAAGCCCTGGTCCAGATGGTCTGCTTGTAGAATTTTACCAGAATTTCTGGGAATTAATTAAATAGGGCCTTAAGGGTTTACTTGATGATTTCCATTCTGGAAACCTGGACATTTCTAGGTTGAATTATGGAATTATTACATTAGTACCCAAGGTTAAAGATGCTAAACAAATACAGAAATTCAAACCAATATGCTTACTTAATGTGAGTTTCAAGATAATAACAAAAGTACTAATGAATAGACTCAGCAAGGTCATTAGGCCAATAATCTCTTCAAACCAGACAACATTCATAAAAGAGAGATATATTATGGAAGGGGTTGTGGTGTTGCATGAAGCTTTACAATACATAAAAAGAAACAAAGTGCTCTGCTCTTCAAGGTAGATTTTGAAAAAGCATATAATAAGATCAAATGGCCTTTCGTGTATAAGATGATGAAGTTAAAAAACTTCCCCGATCAATGGTGTGACTTGGTAATGCACACTATGGTGGGGGCATGTAGGGGTTAAAGTAAATGATATTATTGGGCCATATTTTAAAACTTTCAAAGGGCTGAGACAGGGAGATTCCCTGTCACCCCTAATATTTGACATAGCTGCTGATGCATTGGCTATAATCTTAGACAAAGCTATGCAGGAGGGGTTTGTGAAAGGGGTACTCTCAGGGTATAATAATTGTGAAGTCAATATGCTGCAATATGCAGATGATACAATTTTCCTGCTACAAGATGATGAGTAAAGTGCAAAGAATTTGAAATTCATTTTAACAGCTTCTAAACAAATGTCTGCACTGACCATTAACTTTCATAAGAGTGAAATTTTCTTATTTGGAGAGGCTGTAAACAAGACTGATATATATCAAGAGATCTTTACATGTGAGGTGGGAAAGATGCCCATTAAATATCTAGGACTACCGGTGGCTGATATTAGACTAGGAAACAAATTCTGGAAGGGAGTTACAGAAAAAACTAAGAAAAGATGTGCATGTTGGTAAGGCAGACTGTTGAACATGGCTGGGAGAGTGACTGTAGTACAAGCATGTCTTACCAACATTCCTCTTTTTATGATGTCCTTTTACCCCTTGCCTGTTGGAGTCAGGAAAAAAATAGATTTCTTCAGAGCTAGACTTGTGTGGCAAGAAGATGAAAATAAGAAAAAAATGTCATTTGGTTAACTGGAAAACAAGTTGCCTACCAAAAGAACAAGGGGGGCTTGAAATTATTAATTTAGAAATCATGAATAAATCATTGTTGGCTAAATGGCTCTGGAAAATGGAAACTGAATCAGGAACCTAGGTGAATATTTTGAGAAACAAATATGTTCAGAATAAGTGTTTGTCTGGAATAAAAAGGAAGCCTGGAGACTCCCAGTTTTTGAGCAGTCTAATGGGAGTAAAAAAATACTTTCAACATGTCAAGAAAAAACTGGGAGATGGGAATGAGACTAGATTATGGGAGGATTGGTGGGTGGGATCTAAACCTCTAAAAGATCTATACCCTAGACTATACAATATTAGCTTTGATCACAACATTTCAGTGGCAGATGCTATTAACAGAGGGTGGCAAGGATTTAGTTTTAGACGAACCTTGACCAGAGAAACGATAGAACTATGGAATAGCCTAAAAACAAGATGTGAGGAGGTGAGGATGCATGGGGGGGAAAGACCAGCCCCTTTGGATGCTCACTAAAAACAGAATATTTTTTGTTAAGTCTTTATACTCCTTTCTGATCAATGATGGTGTGGGATTCCCACACAAATTCTCGTGGAAAATTAAAATTCCAGCCAAGATTAAAATGTTCTTTTGGTTGTTTACTAGAAGAAGCATTTTGACCAAAGACAATTTGATCAAAAAAGGATGGAAGGGAGGAAAAGAGTGTGTATATTATGGGCAAGAAGAAAACATTGATCACCTTTTCTTTGAGTGTTCAGCGGCTAGATTGGTCTGGAGTTTGATCAAATGTGCTTTGGACCTTAGAACAACCCCAATAAACTCAAATGACTACTTGGGTGGGTGGTTGAAAACCTTTAAAAAAACTGAGAAAAGGTTAGTTTTGGTGGGAAGCGTTGTCGGTTTTGCAGAGAAAAAAGCCGGAACAAAAACTACTGCAGCTGGGAGCAAAACTAATCGAGCGAGTGGCAAGTGAAATATATAAGGTGGCACAGGGATGGAGACTTGGCGTACGGCGGCTGGGAGGATGACTCCAGCTATCTTCAAAAGGATCCTGTCTTCTTCCTGTTTACGCCATGTAATCTTGAACTTGGGGGAGAATAATAACTGAAACTAATGTAAGCGATGCATGTCTTTTGTATTTCCCTGAGGCTAGTAGTCTTTAGCTTAGATTAAAAATGTTGTCATTTCGAACCTGATGGCTAGACGGGAGTGTCCCTGGTTTGTGTTCTTTATGGTTTCATTAATGAAATCGGAGGGAAACCTCTTTTGTTTCAAAAAAAATACATACACAAAAAAGAGAAATGCACACACTGCCTCACACATACATTATCATCACTTTTGCTTAAAAAAACATACATTATCATCACTTCACACAGAATCATATAGAGTACACGTACGTACTGCATAAACTTGGCAATACCAGACTAGCACAAGCTTCCAGAAACAAACACACACATTTTGCATAGGTTGCAGCTAATTAACCAGCTCGACTCAATGACTCAACTCCAATCAATAGTACTACAGGAGTACTCCCTCTGTAAACTAATATAAGAGTGTTTAGATCACTGTTTTAGTATTCTAAACGCTTTTATATTAGTTTACAGAGGGAGTACTTATTATGCAACAGAACAGAGTACTCTAGACTGATTGTGACGACGATCATGATACTGCTGCTTCTTATTCATGGCCTTGGAGTAGATATTTTTAGGGGTGAAATTTAGTAGATGGACGGTTGGATCAGGCTCTGATGCAGACAGACCTGTCGAAGACCCAGCTGAACCATGCGAACTCGGGCTCTTTCGCGGCTTTGATTGCGCGGTCGTGGGCCAGCTCCTCCACCCGCCGGATCTTTCGCGGCAGCCCGCACACGTACTCCTGCGCGCGCCGCCCCTCGCCGGACAGCTGCCCCCCGGCGAGGTCCGCCACCCTCCACCTCCGCACGAAGTGCTCCACCATGTCGCCGTAGTCCCTTGCCGTGTACACCCCGGTGCGCTGTGCGACCGCCGAGAAGTGCTCGAACAGGTCAGCGTCGCGGCCATCGGTCATGAGTGAAAGATATGAAGCGTTCCTACTCCATCGAGGGAGCCGCGTGGTAGTTTATATTGATGCGTGGCCGAAGCCTGGCTTGACGTACAAGGTTATGACAGAAAGAGTTTGGGTAGAATACAAGAGAAGGAAGGAGGTTGAGATTACAACTCTATATTCTAACACCCTCCCTTAATCTCAACTAACCTAAGTTATGATTACTCTTGAATTCTTCAAATGGTCTTGCTGGTAGTGCTTTTGTAAAACCGTCAGCCACTTGATCCTTAGAAGGAATAAATCGAATCTCAAGTTTCCTTGCCGCAATCCTTTCTCGTACAAAGTGAAAATCAATTTTTATGTGCTTTGTCCTGGCATGGAACACTGGATTTGCAGACAGATATGTTGCTCCCAAATTATCACACCATAAACATGAGATACGATTCTTCTTGATTCCCAATTCCTCAAGAAGTGATTCAACCCAAATGATCTCAGCAGTTGCATTAGCCAAAGACTTGTATTCAGCTTCTGTACTTGAGCGTGACACAGTAGCTTGCTTTCTAGCACTCCAGGAGATAAGATTAGATCCAAAGAACACCGCAAAACCTCCAGTTGATCTTCTGTCATCACTACATCCTGCCCAATCAGCATCAGAGAATGCACTCACAAGAGAAGAATTAGACCGTTTGAAATGAAGTCCTATTCCCATGGTATGTTTCACATATCTCACAATCCTCTTGACAGCTGACCAATGTGCAGAAGTAGGTGCATGAAGATATTGACAAACCTTGTTGACAGCAAATGAGATATCTGGACGTGTGAGAGTTAAATATTGTAGTGCTCCCACAGTACTCCTATACCTTGTACTCTCCTCCTCTTGAAGTGGCTCACCCTCATATGCTGAGAGACTTTCTGAGGAGGATAAAGGTGTAGACATTGGCTTGCAATTTTTCATCTCCATGCGAGACAGAAGCTCAAGAATATATTTTTCCTGATTTAACACAATACCATCTTGAGTTTTCTTGACTTCAATACCCAAGAAGAAATGCAAATCACCTAGGTCCTTCAAGGCAAACTCTGAGCTCAAATCATGCAAAAGAGCATTAGTAGCATTTTGTGAAGAACTTGCAACTATGATATCATCAACATATATAAGCACAAAAATGACTACTCCTGCCTTGTTATAAATAAACAAGGATGTGTCAGCCTTGGAAGCAACAAAGCCAAGATATTTTAACTGTGAGCTCAATCTGGAATACCATGCTCTGGGTGCTTGCTTTAGACCATAGAGTGCTTTATCAAGCTTGCAGACATACTGTGGCAATTTCTTACTCTCATACCCAGGTGGTTGTCTCATAAACACTTCCTCTTCCAGAACACCGTGCAGAAACGCATTCTGTACATCTAGCTGCCTTAAACTCCATCCTCTGGATACAGCAATGGCTAACACAAGTCTGATAGTTGCAGCTTTCACAACGGGACTAAAGGTGTCCTCATAGTCAATGCCATAACGTTGCTTAAAGCCCTTTGCAACTAGACGTGCCTTATATCTGTCAATGGAGCCATCTGCCTTCTTCTTAATTCTATACACCCATTTGCAATCAATAATATTTTTACCTCTCTGATTTGGTACAAGATGCCAAGTCTTATTCCTCATGAGCGCAGAATACTCCTCATCCATTGCCTTTTTCCATTTAGGATCATCAAGTGCATTCTTCAACGATGTTGGTTCTCCTAAAATACACAACATTCCATATGGTATAGTTCCATCTTTCCTAATTTTAGGATTCCGTATACCTTTCTGTAGCCGGGTCATAACACGTGAAGAAACCTCTCGCTGCACCGCTGGTATACTTGCCACAGAAGATCCAGGAGAATCTGCTGATGCAGTGGACTGATTTGTCGTCATATGCGCAGGGGATCCTGTGGCTTCTGGTGTGGCTTCCCCTCCTGCAGGCACTGGCGCAGAGGATCCGCCACCCGACCGCGACTGGAGGCGCGCGTGGTGCGGAGAGGATCTGGTCCCGCCGCTGGTCCCGTCTGACGCTGGCGCGCGGGGCGAGGGGGATTCGGCCCCGCTGCTGGTCCCGCCTGAAGCTGACGCGGCAGCACGGGAGTGGCCCGCCCTGGATCCAGGACTGGAGCCATCAGGGGCTTGATCCGAGGCGGATGCGGTCGCGTGATCCGAGATCTGCGCGCGTGCAGGGGTGGCAGGCGCCGCCAGATCTTCTTCGTCATCTGTGCCAGCTTCGTCTCCTTCCTCAGCATGAAATATAGGATCAAAACCAGCCATATTTTCGAGATCTTGGTCATTTTGAGCACCGTTTTCTCTAGGGACCTGCACAGGCATAAGAGAAAGACTAGTACCAGCAGGAATATCATCACGACATTGGTTAGTACAATTGTTGTCGCCCCCATGATCAAAAGACCGAAGATGTGAAGGAAGAAGAAGAATTTCTTTGCGGAGAAGTGCACCAGCATTAGGATGAAGGGATGCAAAGGGAAACACGGACTCATCAAATACAACATCTCTGGATATATACACCCGACCAGTAGGAACATCAAGGCACTTAACCCCTTTATGCATGGGGCTATAGCCTAAAAAGACACACCGTTTTGAGCGGAAAGCGAGTTTGCGTGTGTTGTAAGGCCTAAGATTGGGCCAACAGGCACAACCAAAAATACGAAGAGATGTATAGTTGGGTGTGACACCAAGAAGTCGTGTAATGGGTGTTTCAAATTTGATAACTTTACTTGGAAGCAAGTTGATGAGATATGTAGCAATTAAGAATGCTTCATCCCAAAATTTAAGCGGCATGGAAGCATTTGCTAACAAGGCAAGCCCCATATCAACTATGTGACGGTGCTTTCTTTCAGCGGATCCATTTTGTTGGTGAGCATGAGGACAAGATACATGGTGTGATATGCCAAGCTTTTGAAAGAAAGAATTTAGTTTTTCATACTCACCACCCCAGTCACTTTGCATAGCAATGATTTTAGAGTTCAGTTTGCGTTCAACAAGATTTTAGAAATTGAGGAAAACTTGGAATACATCAGATCGCTTTTTCAACAGATAAATCCAAGTAAATTTACTACAGTCATCAATAAAACTTACATAATAGGAAAATCTACCAACTGAAATAGGAGCTGGCCCCCATACAGATAAGTTGTAAAGGGGCAGTAGACACACTAGTAGAAATTGGGTAAGGTAATTGATGACTTTTTGCTTGTTGACACGGATCACAAACTAACTCACTACTAGGCTCATAAGAGAGTTTATTTTTGCTAAGAACATATCTAACTATGACTGAAGATGGATGACCTAAACGACTATGCCACCTTGATGTAGATAGCTTGGTGACAATATTTGCTTGTTTATTGGACCATGAAGATGATGATGATGATGATGATATGAGTGGGTAGAGTCCTCCCACGCACCGTCCTCTAAGAATGACTCTCCTTGTTTTCAAGTCCTTAACCAAGAAAAAATAAGGACAAAACTCAATAAGAACATTGTTATCAAGAGTGAATCGATGAACGGAAACAAGATTTTTAGAGGTTTGAGGAACATGCAAGACATTGGTCAAGTATAAATTTTTCACGGGGGTTTTAACAATTGAACTGCCAATGTGTGTGATATCCATACCAGAACCGCTTGCCGTGCGAATTTGGTCGCCTCCATTGTACTTCTCCCGCATCGTCAACTTGTCAAGTTCACCTGTGATGTGGTTTGTTGCTGCACTGTCGGCGTACCAGTTGGTGTCCATGCCATAGGAGGCTGCATGCGCTTGCTTTTCTTCCTGGTCGTTTTCTTCATAACGCCACCAGCAAACTCGTGCACCTCCTGGATGGTGTCTGTAGCATATCTGACATTCTGGATAGTCATGCTGTTGCTCACGAGCCTGCTATTGCTGTTGCTGTCGAGGACGGCCTCTGAATCCGCCGCCTCCATTGGAGGAAGACGACTGTCGGTCACCGCGGTCACCACGATCACCACGGCCACGGCCTCTTCCTCCACGCCTGCGAGATCTGCCACGGGACTGGCCACGGCCTCTGTAGACCGCATTAGCGGATGAATAGAACCCTCCTGAAGATGAGTCGCCTAGCATCTCCATCCTTTGATCAAAGGCAGCAATCTGGGCAAAAAAATCGTCGGCTGTGATGATGTTTTTGACAGCGCCAATCGCCGCCACCACGGGGTCGTAGTCGCGGTCCAGTCCGGCCGGAATATAGTCCACCATCTCCGGATCAGATACGGGACGACCTGCAGCAGCTAGTTCATCCCCAAGACTTTTCATCTTCGCCATATACGCCGAGCTTGACATCGAGCCCTTCTTGGTATTGGTGATGGCGATTCTCAGATTAGTAATCCGAGACTGAGATTGTGAGGCGAAGAGATTTGTCACCGTCGTCCAGAGCTCAAAGGTGGAATCTTTCCCAACAACTTGTGCAAGAATTTCTGGAGACATGGAATTGAGAAGGTATGATAGAACCTGCTGATCTTTGGCGATCCAGGGTCCGTATAGGGGATTCGGCTCTAGGGCCGTGGTCTTGTCTGCCTTCGTGATCTCCACCATCTTGGGTGGAGCGGCATCGGTGTTGTCCAGGAGCCCCGTCACCTGCGCGCCTCGCAGGGCTGGGAGGACCTGCGTCTTCCAGAGGATGAAATTACCTCTTGCGAGCTTCTCAGACGGCGGCGATCCAAGGTTGAGGGAGACGCCGGCGGAGGAAGCCATGGAGACGATGATGTGTGGTTTCTAAGGTTTTGGATTGTGGCTAGATGTATGAGAAGAGGTGGCTCTGATTACCATGAAAGATATGAAGCGTTCCTACTCCATCGAGGGAGCCACGTGGTAGTTTATATTGATGCGTGGCCGAAGTCTGACTTGACGTACAAGGTTATGACAGAAAGAGTTTGGGTAGAATATAAGAGAAGGAAGGAGGTTGAGATTACAACTCTATATTCTAACAATGAGCTGGCCAGGCATGGTGATTTTGTCCCGCAGGACGGCGGCCAGCGCCCGCACCATCCCGTCCGGGTCGAGCTCGAACAACTTGGCGGCCGCCTTGGTGTAGGCCGTCTCATGGCGCTTCTCGTCGGCGGCCACGACGCCGCAGATCTTGGCGAGGCAGCGGTCGCCGTGGCGCGCGGCGTGCTTGGCGGTGTGGGTATGGGAGATGAAGGTGGCACGCTCCTGGAAGGAACCGTAGACGATGTTGTGGTAGGGGCTGGACGGCCTGAGCATCTGCATGCCGTTGCGGAGGAGGTGGTGGACGGTCCGCTCGACCTGGCGCATGTCGACACGGCCGGAGAGGTAGAGGTAGCGGTTGAGGAGATCGCCGTGGCGGTTCTCCTCGGCCGTCCATCCGCGTATCCAGCGCGCCCAGGGCAGGTCGCTGCAGCCCGTGTCGTCGCTGCAGCCCGCCACCCGGTTTCCCACGCACATGTACGTCGGCAGCGCCTCCTCCGTTACCATGTTGCCCACCAGGCACACCAGCACGTCGTCCGGCACGCCGGAGGCTTGGTCCTGGAGCTCTTCCGTCGTCATCATCATCATCGAGGGCGGCGGCTGCTGCTCGGCGGAGCGGCCAGCTGAAGTGAGGGAGAAGCAGGGGAGCAGGTCGCTGGGCTGCCACGCGTCCTCCACCGGGGTGAGCAGCGGCAGAACCTGTTTCTCCACCCACCCGCTCAGGTTCAGAGTCCGCGCCACCTCCGCCTCCGCCTGCTCTTGCGGCCGCATCCCCGTCACCGCGTTGTCGAAATGAGCTGTCGCGGTGGACTTGCAGGCCCATCTCCCAGCTCTCGCCGCAGCCCGGCTCCTGCACCTGCATGCATAAACGATTCCATTTCATCCGCTTGCTCACCACATCGCGTGCATGTGTGTGTGAGGAAGAGAGCCTTCGTGTACCTACCAGCTTGGATGGGCCTGTGCCGGCATGGCGAGACCGTGCGGGAAAGACATGAGCATGCTCATCTTCTCACTGCTGCAAAGGCAAAATCTTCACTGACGATGCTGTGTTGCGGGCAACGTAATGAGCCCCTGCATGTTTGCTCCGTATATATGTGCACCTACCTGTGCGCGTTAAAAAGAGCGCAAGGAACCCAAAATTGCAGTTGAAAGTATATTTACCGACCTTTGCTAGACGTACAAAGACTTACATGAGTTTACGGGATGATTTCTGAAATGACAGGCTTTAATTGGATGAAGGGTGTGGGCGCGGCCCCACACAGGTGAAAATCAGGGAGGGCATTTATGAATTTATGGAAGGGTATGTAGCAGCCCCGTAAGAGGCCGTACGTGTAGCATTTTTTATATTTACCACTGAAGAATCCATCCCCGGCCCCTCGTGGAAGATCGGTGTTGGCTCTATTATACTCGTGCCGTGACTTAAAACCTTCGTAAAAGTAGATTCGTCAAATTATACTCGTGGAAGATCGGTGCTGGCTCTATTATACTCGTTCGAAATCCCGCATCGGTGTCCGACACCTTGGACCAACCAAAAAGAAGACACTCAGAGCTCGCAAAATTTGCAATCCCCCATTATTTCTGGGCCAAATCATGTCCCCTCCGCCGCGATAGAAGCCACCCGGTCCGTTCTGGATCGTTCGACAGTCCGCCGCCACCGCAATAGATCCATCGGAGCCCATCACGAGGTTCTTCGTCTCGCTACATCACGAGGTTATTCGTTTCACTGGACCAAGAGCCCAATCGCGCGGCCGCATTCGTACCACGGTGAGAGCGGCGCATGATGGAGAGGGTGAAGAAGAAGGCGCATGTGGCCGCTCAGGCTGGAGCTCCTCCTACACATCGGACTGTCATGCTAGTTATGCTCGGGGAATCGCCACCCTGGCCTGTCCGGTACAATCCATCGTACTACTACGTCGGCATCTATACGGTTAGCCCGACACATAGCAATCATCCCAGGACTCTGGCGTCTCCTTCAGCTTCGCCTCCGGCCACCCTCCACTATCTATCTCAAAAATGACTATTTGTTCACAGAGTTGCAAGCATTGGTCCGGTCATGGTTTCGATTAGAGGAGCCCTCGTCCGATGGTGGCCGATCAGTGTTTGGCGCTATGCCTCTACCAAGATCGGCGGCGGCCACCGACGAGGCGGTGATGAGCACCATCCACCATGGCGGCAACCAGAAAGATGAACAAGTCAATGACCACTACACGCCACAGCTGGAGCAAGAGACATTGACAGACACCGAGCAGTCGGTCGTGCCTGATGCAGATGCAAAGAAGAGGGGTTGGTTGTACTCAAACAAAGAGGGTGAATTGTTTTGGTGCGGTTGGGCAAAAGTGTTGATCCGCGTCAAGGCACGGGGTAAAAAGGCTTAGCTTTTCGACAAATTGTGTATGATTTCTACCATGAGCAAAATCACTACGACCCTGCGACTAGGAAGTGATCCATGATTGCAATCAAAAGTCTCTAAGCCATTGATGGTACACTATTTAAAAGGTCGTCAACAAGTTCTTTGTGGTCTATATTGATAGACGTGTCTGTAATCATTGATTGTTTCATGCTATTATTATACCACTTTTACATATTTTTGGCAATAAATTATATTATTTTTTATTTGTACTAACCTATTAACGCAGTGCCAAAGACTAGTTCCCGTTTTCTATTGTTTTTTGGATTTTTAGGTGAAAAAACCACGGAGCCCGAATGACCTGAATTTCTTGTGGACTTTTTATGGAACATATCTGAATTTTTGGCAGAAGAATCTACGCAAGGCGACGCTCGTGGGCTCCACATGGACAGCCCACGCGGCCTGGTGATGAGGAAACAGACCTGAGGTAGGGTCATAGGCCTGACCTGTATGTCCTACCCAAGGTCACTATCCTAGAAGATAAAAGGGCCAAGAGACGACAGGAGAACACCAGTCGAATACGTCGAGTGCAATCCACTCAACGGCCATGTCACTCGGAGGTCTTCCTCCCTACCGTCACTCGACCATACGGAAAGTCACACGACCTATCGAAGACCAGAAGTCAGAAGAGACCGCAACGGTCGGACGTTCACTCCGTAGTCTTTATAAGCATTAACAACACTTAAGGCTGGCGTTACCAGTAATGGAGGTCTGCTAGGGTCCTGGCGCACTCTATATAAGCCACCCCCCTCCTCTGGGACAAGGGTTCGCACCCCCTGTAATATCACACACATAATCCAATCGACCGCCTCCGGGCACCGAGACGTAGGGCTGTTACTTCCACCGCAAAGGGCCTGAACTCGTAAACCTCTTGTGTACACCTTCACCATAGATGAGATCTTGCCTATCCATACCTACCCCCCTTTCTACTGTCAGTCTTAGGACCACGACAGTTGGCGCCCACCGTGGGGCAGGTATCTTAGCGACTTGCTGGTGAAGTTGCAAGTTTTACCGATCGTCATTGTCATGGTTTCCGGCGGCGGATTGGCTAAGGGCCGCGAGATCCGTCTCGGCGTGCTCGTTTTCGTCGCCGACAACTCCGCGTGGCTTCAAGAAGCTCCCCTGGACGTTGAGGCGCTCCCCTTCCGAGGAGCAACGCACTTCCGTGCGTGCATTCGCGGCGTTCTTCTTCGGCAGCCGTCGACTCAGTATCAGTCAACTCCGATGGTGTTTTCACTCCCCGCTGTTCGTCGCTGCAAGCGGTCCGGTCGATCGCGGCTTCAGCGGTGGATGAAACACGTGGTGGCTCGACGTTCGACCACCCATCAAGTCGCGGCAATCGAGCCCGACAAAACTCTCCACGGCCTGTTCGACTTGTCGACTGGCTCCGCAGAGACCGCATCCCAATGCAATAGCAGCGACCCTGCGGCTGAAGTCTTGATGGTCGACGGGCCTCACAGCCCGCCCGGTTTCCGCCGTGAAGACGGCGGAGATGGGGGCAGCGATCCGTCGCGCGTCCATGAGGAATACCGACCCGAACCCCTCTCTTCGCAGCAGAGGGAAGAACTTTGTCGCCGCAACATGGATGCACTCCACACGCCCATCGTTGGAGAAACCCCCGAGGCTCGGGCCTTGGAGGAGGTGCGCCTAGTTAATTTGGCTGAGCGCACTCGACTAGATAACCTTCAGCTTGCTCTTGACGAGCGCGCTCAGGAGCGGATCCATGAGTCCAGTCGATGACAACTTTTTCTGCCTCCACCTAAGGTATACCGCACTCCGATTCGATATCTCACTGCTGCGGCCCGAATAGCAGAGTTGATCCAACCTTCCCAGTCGGAAGCTGGCCGAGGGTTGATGCAGATCCGGGCCTTGCTCCGGGCAGCAGGAGAGCAAAAGACAGCAGTATCTCAGTCACGGAATAGGATTCATAGCAGATCCGTTGTAGCAGACACGGTTCAGTCAGCTCACATCCCAAGATCGCCCCCGCGGCGTGAGGGCCGTGGGCAGTATGTGTTGGGGAACGTAGCAGAAATCTATGGAGATTCTAGCAACAAGAGAGAGAGAGAGAGGGAGTGCATCTTCATACCCTTGAAGATCGCTAAGCGGAAGCGTTGCAAGAACGCGGATGAAGGAGTCGTACTCGTAGCGATTCAGATCGCGGTTGATTCCAATCTAAGCACCGAACAACGGCGCCTCCGTGTTCAACACACGTACAGCACGGGGAGGTCTCCTCCTTCTTGATCCAGCAAGGGGAGAGGAGAAGTTGAGGGAGAACTCCGACAGCACGACGGCATGGTGGTGATGGAGCTCGTGGTTCTCCGGCAGGGCTTCACCAAGCACTACGGAGGAGGAGGAAGTGTTGGAGGAGGGAGGGGCTGCGCCAGGGAAAAGGTCACGGCTGCCCTCCCACCTCCTAAATATATATAGAGGGAAGGGAAGAGGTGGAGGCGCCCTAGGGTTTCCCTAGGGGGCGGCGGCCAGGGCAGATTGGATCTCCCTAGGGAAACCCTAGGGAGACTTGCCCCTCAAGCCAAGCAGGTGGAGGCTTGCCTCCCAAGTCAGGTGGAGGCGCCCCACCTCCCCAAGCAACGTGGGAAAGGGTGTGGGGGCGCACAGACCCTTAGTGGGCTGGTTTGCCCCCTCCCATTCGCCCATGAGGCCCTGCAACACTTGACGGGGCCCCCAAAACACCTTTCGGTCATGATGGCCTTAGCCTGGTACCCCCGGAACACTTCCGGACTCCAATACCCTTCGTCCAATATATCGATCTTCACCGCCGGACCATTCCGGAACTCGTAGTGACGTCCGGGATCACATGCGGGACTCCGAACTACCTTCGGTAACCACATACTATTTCCCGTAACAACTCTAGCGTCACCGAACCTTAAGTGTGTAGACCCTACGGGTTCGGGAACCATGCAGACATGACCGAGACACCTCTCCGGCCAATAACCAATAGCGGGATCTGGATACCCATATTGGCTCCCACATGTTCCACGATGATCTCGTCGGATGAACCACGATGTCGGGGATTCAATCAATCCCGTATACAATTCCCTTTGTCAATCTGTATGTTACTTGCCCGAGATTCGATCGTCGGTATCCCAATACCTTGTTAAATCTCGTTACCGGCAAGTCACTTTACTCGTTTCATAATGCATGATCCCGCGACTAACTACTTAGTCACATTGAGCTCATTATGATGATGCATTACCGAGTGGGCCCAGAGATACCTCTCTATCATACGGAGTGACAAATCCCAGTCTCGATTCGTGCCAATCCAACGGACACTTTCGGAGATACCTGTAGTTCACCTTTATAGCCACCCAGTTATGTTGTGACGTTTGGTACACCCAAAGCATTCCTACGGTATCCGGGAGTTGCACAATCTCATGGTCTAAGGAAATGATACTTGACATTAGAAAAGCTCTTAGCAAACGAACTACATGATCTTGTGCTATGCTTAGGATTGGGTCTTGTCCATCACATCATTCTCCTAATGATGTGATCCCGTTATCAATGACATCAAATGTCCATGGTCAGGAAACCATAACCATCTATTGATCAACGAGCTAGTCAACTAGAGGCTCACTAGGGA